AAAGTGGTGGTAGTGGAATGCATGAAAATACTCTATCATGTCCCGTAGGTCTCACGTGTCAATTACGCCTATGCTGACAAGTAAACTTTGAAAAACAACACTGAGGATGGCACTCTTGACAGAGAAACCGCTGGAGAAGCCACCATCTTGCTAAGAGCTATGGATTTTGAATTTTGTTTTATGTCTGAAACTGTGCAACATGTTTCGAAAAATCTCCAAGTTGTATCCATGAGTGTATCCACCTCGTCTGTTTAACTCAAGTGATATGCGAGGGCGAATTGAAGCGGAATGATTTACATCTTGACATATAGATGGCAGGCAGCATCGATATTGCTTTCTCAGATTTTGAACTATTTTGGCTTGAAAAGATCGATACAGAGTCATCTGTTTCTACGAGACAGTGAATCTGATGTTCCTGGTTCTCAAAAGTCGATTCGTTACAGATGTACTTCCATTGCTTGAACCAATGGCTTACATAGTCAAAACAGACGCAATAAAATTAGGTTCTCTTATCCGTGTATCCGGTTTCTAGGTGATCTAAAAGTTGACAACTTCATCCCGGATATAGACTGCATTCTCACCCTTTAATGGGTTTGGACATTTCAGTCGATGTCCATTCGGTGTATTTGAGCATGGCGTACATCAACTTCATCCCAATCTCTGTGTATTTGCACATGATTGAGCACGGCGTACATCAACTTCATCCCAATCTCTGTGTATTTGCACATGGTTGAGCATGGCGTACATCAACTTCATCCCAATCTCTGTGTATTTGCATATAGTTGAGCATGGCGTACATCATCTTCATCCCAATCTCTGTGTATTTGCACATGGTTGAGCATGGCGTACATCAACTTCATCCCAATCTCTGTGTATTTGCATATAGTTGAGCATGGCCTACATAAACTTCATCCCAATATCTCTGTGTATTTGCATCAACTTCATCCCAATATCTCTATTAATTTTCACTAACTTTGCTAGCAAGTCTGTGCTCGGGAAAGAAATCCATTTCCGTATTTAAGCTCATAAAGAACAGGCCCGAGAGTGTGAGCCCCTAAGATGGCTCTGCGGTAAGTGTGAGGGCTTTTGACGCTAACGATGCCTGCGATGGGCAAAGCACAGAGAATCCATTGTTTAGCTTTGTGCTTAATAACAAAAAAACAAAAACTATGATGGTTTACATACTCTGATGATTATTACCAGTGAGGTGAAACGTGCAAAAACTGTTGAATTGGAGAGTGCTGCTATTTCTGCAACAATTTCTCTGATGACAGACGACAATGTTTATTAGCTTTTTATCTTAACTCTTTAGTTGGTCGATTGCTTAATTAACAAAGACGTGCTTTATTGTGTATTTTATGACTAGATGAAAATAAATGTTCTATAAATTACATGTTAATTTCAATGTTTGTGAACTGCAAAGATAGCCTAGATACCCTTAGCTACGTAATCCGGTAACCCTAAATTACTATCGCCATGTTTGCGATTCTTCCAAAATACGTGTTTTCACGAACGTCTCTGGATAGAAAGTTTTCAGACTGTCTGTCCATAAAAGACAAGTTTATACGAGGAAGAAAGAACGAGAGGTGTTCTACAATAATCAGTGGTGCAACTAGATCTCGTGGTGCCCTTTTAAACACTGTTGTAATAACTACTGTAGGGGACCTTAAGGGTGTGGATTGTAGTGGTCTGTGAACTTCATCCAACTAGTAAGACAGATAATTGCATCTACGATCACAATTTGTATGGTAACAGTTCAATTCATGCACACTAAAACGTGTGGCACATTAATTAGTCTTCAATCACGTGACACGTGCATTTGTCTTCAAATATACTCATACGTCTGAGAATATCAATCTTGCACTTTTTGTTTTTCCGAGAACTTTCTGATGTAATTTGAATAACGTCTTACTTTGTTTGGCTACAAAGTAGAAGATACCGATATAGCAGGTTGGTTGATACTTTGTTTGATCAGTCGCGTGTGACGTTGTCCTTCGGTCTTTGAGCTTGACCATCTTCACGTGACAATCAAGATGACGAGATTGTATAGATAACATTATATAGAGTAACCCTTTCTAAGTTCTTAATGAACAACCGATCATCGTTGAAAATGAATTATTTCAAATAACACTTTGCTTAATATCTGGAAGTAAAGTTGGTCACATTAAATATATGTATGTAAGAGCCTACTGTGTTTAATATCTGGAAATGTCCTTGTCTAAGATCCCACTTTGTTTAATATCTGGAAATTTCCTTGTCTAAGGTCCCACTTTGTTTAATATCTGGAAGTAAAGTTGGTCACATTAAGTATATGTATCTAAGGGCCTACTTTGTTTAATATCTGGAAATTTCCTTGTCTAAGGTCCCACTTTGTTTAGTATCTGGAAGTAAAGATGGTCAAATTGAGTATCTGTATCTAAGGACCTCTTTTGTTTTATATATGGAAGTTTCCTTGTCTAAGGTCCCACTGTTTAGTATCTGGAAAAAGAGTAAAGTACGTTATGTATCTGTGTTGACGAACAAGCTCTGTTAAATATTTGAAAACTAGTGTTAAGTACCATGCAATGAGTGCTTGTGTCAAAGGACCCATTTTAATATTTGTAAACTAGAATTATAGTTAGTCCAGTTAAGTAACCGCGTTCCAAGGCCACCTTTGTTTACTGTTTGAATGACAGAGTTTGAATGTTTTAGCAGATTGTGTTTTTTATTTACGGTTTACGAAAAATTTAACATAACATTTAATACAAAAACTTATTAAAATCTACTACATGTCAAACATTCTTGGATCTCTTTAACTCAAACTGGTTAGTTATCCGTGAAATACCGGTAAAATTATAACCTTAACTCTAAAAACGTTCTTTGTTCACAATACTTTCTTTCTAGAAGAGTTTATTGCGGACTGTGATGGCTGTGTCATCCTTCCTGGATAAAAAAGAAAAAAAAATTAATTTCTGACGTCATTTAGACAATAACTTAGATAAACTTTATCTGCAAGTGACAACGTTGACAATTAGTATTGCGAATCGCTGAGCCCAAATTGTGATGGTTTATACCAGTCACGTGACCCTTAAGCTTTGTTGCTGTTACGTAACACTTCACGGGAAGATAGCCTTTAGTAGAGTAGTCGCAGACGAGCGCTTCATTTTCAATCTGGTCGTACGTAGGCAGTGTTGTAACGTCAGTGGAGGGTGAAAGACATAAAATACTATACTACTACAAGAGTATCAACGTAATTAAGTTAGTCGAAAAGTCCGTCGAAGTGTGTTATGGCTCCGAACCGAATGAATCAGCCAACTGAAGTGGTAAGGCAGAAGCTTGTTCTAGCTGCTAAGTTAGGCTTACTGTATTTTCTTTTGCATAGTTGTTAGAAAGCACGTAGAAGTTTTACACAGTTGGCAGTTCAGTTGATTAAGTTGTTTAAGTAACTGAAAGCACGCCATGCAACAACGAACTCAACTATTCATGTTTTTTGACTAGCATTCTCATAATTTTGGAGAAAACATATTTCATCAGATTGCACTATACATTACAGCGAACCTGTTTTGACATGCGCTAAATAACTTTAGATACATGTAGTACTTTCATTCCTTTCGTCACTTCAAACTTAATCCACTCAACAGGAGGTTTATGTTATTAAGCTGCTACTTATAATATAACGACGGCCTAATGGTTCATTCATGTTGAATCTTACACCATTTAAAGTATTTTACATAGCGCTAAATACGTCAGTGGTCAGTTATTATTATTATTATAAGTAGGCTTTAGTATCATAAGAAAACAAAATTGTATGTAAACCCGTACGTCGGTCTAGATAAAAATGAAAGTTATGAGTCTAAAAACGAGAGGTGGAGCGCAGCTTAAAGTCACAAGACACGACCATCGTGTCAACAGCGCGTGGCACGTGGTCGGTATCTTTGTAAGGTAATGCATACCTTTTAATTAAACTGTTACAAACTAGTTACTGAACTGTAATTAATTAATTTTGCGCATTGAGCAGAATGAATTTGTGTGAACTTTCGTGAAGTAGATATTTGTGTGTGTGTGTGTGTGTGTGTGTGTGCGCGCGCGCGCGCGCGAACGATTCTATTTTAACACAGAAATGCTTGACTAATCCTCTTTTGGAGCAGTTGAAGATTAAAACACAAATATCACGGAATATCGTTAGAATGTTTCGAACAGTTTTATATTCTGAGATATCACCTAGTGTTTTCTGCTAATATGCTAGTTTATTTATTTTTTATCGTTTTAGTCCTAAACACATGCCGATTTCAGAATCTGGAATGAAAATTTTGATAAAATTTAAAAAAAGCGAAAATAAAAGTTATTAATATATTTTCTCTGTTCATAAATCCAAAATCACGTTTTACAAAAGTATTGATTTGTGGAAGTCTGCGAATACTGAGTAGGCAGCACAGACCATCACATCTACGCAACAACTACTGTGTGATGACCAAGTTGTCATGGTGCTTCAAATACGTATTTGAGTCACGTGGCGTTGCATCATAGAGCTCGTGTTGATTCTTATACGTATGATGTTTCGAAATGCCTTTCATTCATACAGTAATCCTATACTTATATAGGAATTTCAATAATATGCTGTATTGAATTGGGCTACTCATCTATATTTTTATATACAGTAATTAATTGTTTTCCTCATTAGTCAGTTTTAGGGCTGTGCAAAGAATGCGACTACACAGGGGTGTTTTTGTATATGAGGAAGAGATCTAGAGATATTACCCCTCGTGTTTCAGTCTTCAGCTGAAGTCTTTACACTATCTTCGCGTTATAATCGTTCTAACTTCCAGTTACCCCCCCCCCCCCAGTGGCACATTTTACATCTCTAAAAACTGGGTTTCGATACCCGTGATAGGCAGAGCACAGATAGCCCATTGTGTAGCTTTGTGCTTAATTACAAACGAACAAACTAACTTCCAGTTTGAATAACCACGTATTTTAACTCATCTATAATTAATAACTCGCCTATTTAATAAGTGCTTTGCAAAACTTTTCTAAGCCCCTTTACGCCTGATCTAATGCAGCTGGATGTTATTGACAAAATTGATTCAGCACGTAACCCACATTATCAGTATTCTATTTTTGCGGAATTAAATGTACGTTGTTTCTATGGGTTTTGTAGAAACGTAGTTGATCAACCCTGGGGACCGAGTGTGGCCTTATGGTTAGTGTGCCCGAACTGTAGATCCGTGTGTTTACGGTTTGTACCCCGTTTCTGCAAAGAACGTGCTCCGCACTTTCAAGTGACGATCAATTTTTACTATTCGATCAGAGAAAAGTTGGCGGTGGGTGCTGTTGACAATTAGCCTTCCGTTTAGTTTTTCATTGTCAAATTATAGATGGTTATGCACAGATAGCCTTTGTGTAGCATTATGCAAAATTCTGAACAAATATGCAAGTTCAACCCGAGACGATTGTGAGCTCATCACTATTAATTGTATCCTGCTCTAAAGAATGGTAAGTTTCAAAAAGTGCCTTAAAACGATATTTGACGGAATCGTAGAATATTTACGTAGCTAATTCTGTGTTTTTAAATAATTAACTAATCAGTAAATTGTTTTTTTGTTTTTTTTGTATTTAAACAAATGACAGGCTGCTAATAGTGCTATCACCAAAACGAAAGTTGTTTCTTATCTGGATTCTGTGATAAGCGTGTATTTTGAATTAAAAGAACTTTTAATAGTTAAGCAGTATTTGTGTCTATTTCAAACTGTTAATATTGTTGTTGTAGCGTTCTTCTTTCGTTGACGGGTTGTTTGAAATTATTTGGTGAAAAAAGTCCAGTCCACGTAAACGATAACAAATTTAGTTTAATTTATTCCTTCAGTTTTTACACGTCTGAACACTGTGGGAGATTTTAAGCGACATTTATATATGACGCTAACTGCACTACACTAACGTAAAAAACAAACAAAACAAACCCTCATTTGTGCAAAGTAACTATACGCTATAACTAACTGATCAAAAACGTAAAAAAATATTTACTGATTCACTCTACCGGCTATTATTTATAATCTTCCATCGAATGTTCTGAAAATTTGAGTTCAAATCCCCTAAAATTTTCCAGGTGTTCTAGGCCTATCTGATTTTAACATCATCATTACGACATTAAATTTAGATTACAACATTAGAAAAAAAAAAGTAGCTTATAACAGTATAAAAATGATTCGCTGTTTATCATAAAAAGTGTAATTTGAGTAAATGCAAGAAAAATAATGTAGTTATCAAAAATAAAGTAAAAAAACACGGTTATATAAAACGAAAATTTATATAAGATTACGAAACAGAAAAAACTATTTTTTTTTAACTATAGCTGGGTTCAGTAAATGTTACAATGTATTATTCCTATATTGTTTTGGAACTTTGGATCGTAGAGAGACAATGGAAGACTCGCCTCCAGTGTGTGTTTTATTAATTTCAAGCTTAAGATGACATTTTTTATGCTAATATTTTTGTTTCATTAAACAGTGTGCTACATGCATGCTGATTTCCCCCCCCCCCACCCCCCACCACACACACACTTAACGATGTTTAGCTGTACGCAGATGTATAATTATCCAACGGTACTATTCATTTTAGCTTTTAACAGCAAGGAGAAAGTTCGGGGTCACAGTCCAACGACAGGGTTTTTAATTTCAGAGAAAGAGTTTATATTTGTTCTTCTCCAGCGTTCAGCTGATCGTTAGATCTTCAGTTTGTTGGAGGTCACGAATTGGGAGGTCAGATGAAAGTCCGCTACTGATCCTCACAGCTTTTTGTGTATTTCTGCCCCCTCTGGTCAGGTCCGAAGTCTCTAGATGGTGTAAAGGGGGCAGTTATAAAGTTTTATGCCTGGGTCTGATCTGCTTTGTCTGCAAACATACAGTGCTGTGTCTGCAAAACTAATTTTCTTCAAATGGGTTCGGAGGTTTAGGTGGCCGGTCCTTAAGTGATCGATGGTTGTAGCCTGCATTCTGTCCAAAATTTTGAATGAATCTTGATCTCCCTGACTATAGCGCCAGTTCACTCTTGAATCTCTGCAACAGTACGGTTACAACTTTTCTGAAGAAATGGTGACTTGAAGTTGGCATTTCAGGTTCCCATCTTTGACCAATCTGTGGAGGACGAACGAATTAACTCACCGCAGTACTGCAAAAATACCAACGTATTTAAGTTAGTTTGTATTATGTAGTACTAAAGACCGTATATTTATTTGGGCTACTTCTGCGTCTACAATCGTAAAATTGTAAATATTGTATAATTAGTTACATGTACACTTTGTGTTACTGGAATAAAGGTTTGTGTAAAGGAATTGTATGTTTCTTTAGTATAAATTAAATGTATTGGTTAAAAGTTTTTCTCCATTTTTGTTACTATTATGAGGATTATTTTGTATTCTTAGCTTAGTATATAGATTTAGGACTAACCTAATTATCCCAAGATATTATTATCGGGAGATATTATTAGGATTACAACCGAAAATATATCGCTAACAGCAACGGTTCCCAAATAATGAACAAATGCATTCTGGCCATTATAAGTAAGAACGGTATCTTACACGAGCTATATTCATAACTTGGTTAATATTTAGTTCTGATCTCCATAGTTAGGTTAGTTTTAATCAGAAGTTAGTGATACTTGTCTTCATATGTTCTACCAACATACATTAAACACAAACTTTATGATTTGTTCGATTTCGGCATCATACCCTTTTGATCAGTCCTCGTTTATAAACATTTTAACAAAGTTACAACCGTCATAATGGTCGTTTTCAGTTGTTCAATACTTTCCTCCTCGTTGTGAAATTCGAAATCATCGATACATAAATCAATAATTTGTGGTTAATCATAGCAAGATAGTATTGTATTCGTATAAATGTTTTTTTTTTTTTGCAATATGCTGTAGGCTTAGAATTTGTATCTGTTATTTCTTCAGAAGACAGTAATATTGACAGAAGTATATGGATATTACGTGTCTTAGTCCTTGTTTTATGTGTAAGCTTCAGTTGTTGCGTCTTGTTCAAATTGCTTTTATACTTTTTTTTCTGTTATTTGTTTCATTTTAATGTACACATCTTATATTATAAAGTAGGTTTCATAGGATATAATGACAGATTACCTGAACACTTCTACTTACAACTTTCCAGGGGGACCCTAACTAGAACGTTACACGCAAGCGAAATGTCCGCTGGTATGACATCGGTAAGTCCAAGGACTTACAGCGCTAAAATCCGGGGTTCGATTCCCCGACGAGGGCATAGCAGTTAGCCCAATGTGGCTTTGTTCTAAAGAACAAACACAAGTGAAAAAATGTAACAGTTAATTTGTATATAAAAAAAACAAACTCAATACCAGCTAATAAGTTGTCGAACACGCACCCACACATTCCTAGTATAATATATTAAGTATTTTTATTCTAGAGCAGCATATATTCAACTTCTAAAATACTAATACTTTCGTTTGTTATTATGTGTTATTATTATTATATGTTTTCCTTACCAATACAATACGAAGACTAATTATCCGATGGATGTAAATATGTGACAGAAGGTTTTTTAGTTTGAATATGTCAAAAGAGACGTCGCTATAGGTTGAGCTTTGGTCACTATTTTAAGTCTCGTGCCAAATACGATTGTCACTTGTTTGCGGAACAACCCGTAACAAACAAATTGCATCTGCTTATTACAAACTTAGTTTACAGTCGTGACTCTATATGCACGTATGTTATCTCCTTTCAAGCTGAAGGATTCCACGCGGTAATATTTCACCGTGCATCTCCAGAGGCGTATAGTCTTCGGGAACTTGGCAAAAACGTCTAGAGATTCGGAGCAAATCACGTTTCAGCATCTATGAGTAATCAACTGTTAAACACGTATAATGATGTGTGACCTTACGTGCGTCGAAAATAAAATACATTTGGGCTTATTTTTTAATGACGATGGCCATTCTTTTCACGAGAAACCTTCTCTCTGTGTCTCTACTGGGGTTGTTTAAATCTCTTTAATACTTTTTCTTTCTCTCCCTCTCTTATTCTTCAGTTTTAGTTTACACGTCTTAATTCGCTATAATTCGAGAAGAAGTAATCGGAGAACACTAATGATGCTTCAAATAAATACTGATTGAACTGCACTTTGCAAATAATCAAATCAAAAGAATGCAAGAAGCGGAAGCAAGGGTGCTGAAGGTGTGGCGGTTCTCCCTATCTTACTATCATATTCGGGAGTTTAGATTTTTTTTAAATGCTATTTTTTAGCACTCCCACAACAGAAATTGTACGCTGAACTGTACGTAATAACTCACGTGAGAAATCAGCAAAGTTAATAGTAATTGAACAAGTGAATTGTGTACATATTTAATCAACAATGTACCTGTTTTGGATATAATTCGAACGTTATATTTTTATTTGATAAATAGAGACTAAAATACACAAGAAGAAACTGAGTTGATTCGGCCTGTAACACATGTATATCGAGTATTTTCTTAATGGATATTTTTTAAAGATTCCAGCGCCACCTTGAGACAAAATTATAATTAACTGAGTGATTCGAATGGCGATGCAAAATATGTCTATTGTTAATAGCCTACTTAGTCTCCATGCGGCGATAGGTAGTAACCTGATTAGGCATACGTAGTCCATGAAGCCATACAAAACGTGAGATATTAGAGTCACTGTCTAAAGTAGTGGAATTTTGACGACATAACAAAGTGTTGAACTTGATATCATATCTTCAGCCAGACATAACAAACTTATCCGATATCGAGTTATAAAGCTGTTGAGTCGTGTTACCTGCATATGTGAAACTAAGCTAGCGCATATGTTGGGGAAACAAGATCAAAGTGCCAATGGAAGTTTTGTGCATAAAATAAAGATGTTGTCGGTGTTTACACAATAGCCACGAAAGAAACCGGCAAGATATAAACAGAATTTAAGAGGGTGAACTGTGAACATATTTAAACAGTAATGTACGGAGAAACAAGAGGGAATCCTCAATAGCGAGGTACATGAAATTCTTTTAGCCAGAATTACAGTAAATTGATTAATGAGATACCCCCCCCTTTTTTTTTATTAGCTATATTTTTGTGCGCCAGCAATACCAAGCGTGGGGCACGCGTACACTCGATTCGATTTTATTACTCATCGAGATTTCAATGAACCTACCCTCAAATAGAAATTATTTTAGGCAGGATTAGAGTAAATTAATCTATGAGACCTTGGGCGTGTTCAAATACGTTAGTCGAAAGGGTCTGATTTCCTGAGTCCAAAACTGTAATTAGATCTCAAATCGGTCAAGAGATAACGGATCTATGAGCTAAAAGTTTGTACTTGAAAAACTCAGAACCATTCTACGAGCCGCGGCTAAAAACAAGTTAAAGTACATACAAGTATGCCATTGGAATATATCTATTGCAGATACCATTAAACTAATTAACAAAATTTTGCAACCATTTTTTGTTGCTGTTTACTCAGGTTTCGGCTAATTCAAGTTAAAACATAATATTAATAAATATGTTGATGGTTGATAGTTAACTGAAAATCTAGATCACGATTGCTTCCTTGAGGTTGTTTCGACACAATTACTAATTTCTGGAAAGAGATAGTTGGACGTTCCCCTATTATACTCTGTTCTAACAGGTACTTAGTTGAGTTTTATCCATCATAGTTAGTTACTTTGAAAAACAAAAATGAAGTATATAAACACTTAAACTTGAATAAAATCAAAATAAAACAAAAAACATCATAAAATCGTTAACGTTAATTTTATTTTTTACTTTTGTGGTAGTAAATTGCTTTTATAGTTCGCCATTTTTAAATTTCTAATTTCACTATATACCAACGACATTTTCATTGCTGTTATTAGGCGGTGCTTTGTCGATGAATAAATGTTAATAACACATATGATTATATCTTCAGTTTCAAACAACATTGTATAATTACACGGCAATTATTATTTAATAATTTATCCTTAAAGAAGAAGGTAAGCGAATTTTAGGCTTAGAATAAATTCGTTTTTTTTTTTCTAGTCTCTAAGAGCAGAACGCAGGGAACATCTGTACAAGATTTTGGTAATTGGTGAACTTGGAACAGGAAAAACTAGCATCATCAAACGTTATGTTCATCAATTTTTTTCGCAACATTACAGAGCAACGGTATCCTTTCTGAGTATTTAAGTTCCTAAAAAACATCATCTGTGTATTTGTTTTAGTCTCATTTTTAATTTCCTCTTTTTTTAAAAAAAAAGAGACAGTGCTCAAAAGATATTTGTTATTGTTTTGATAATTCTGACTTAACAGAGCAATGGTATTGTGTTGAAAGTAAACCATTACATCTGATCAGTGGTGTTCTATTGTAAGGCTAGAATCAATTTTGATATAAGTAATTTTTAACAGCTTAGAACTGAAGAAATGATGACTCACATTTATATCGAAACTTACCGAGACAGTATCGCTGATAATCCTAAAACATGACACGACTGGCTGGGACTCTTATTCTAATGTATCTAAATTAAAGGACTGTGTTTACATGAAATGTTCGTAAGACATTTATCAATCAAATTTTTAATCGTAACTGTTTAAGGTTGCTTTGGTTTGGTTACGCACAAAACTACACAATGGGCTATCTGTATTTTTCCCACCACTTGTTTCTAAATCAGATTTTTAGCGCTGTAAATCTGCAGACTTGCTGCTGAGCCTCTGGGGGGCTTAAAGTTAAATGGAGTTTATTTAGATATATTAGTGAAATGAGAATTTGTAATTTAAAACAAATTTACAAAGAATCAAGTTGATCTAGTGATGCGAGAAAGACATAAGTGTCATTATGACGTTCGTTTCGAACGTTCAGAGCTGGCATACGAATAAGTTTAATATTTGTGATTAAAAATCACGTTAGAGTGTAGTATTTTTCGTGTACCTCCTATTCAAAATTCTGGATGAATATGTGAAAAACAAACAAAAAAGACAACCATAACCTAACATGATTTTCGTCATAAATATTAGGTATACTAATATGTGAAAAACAAACAAAAAAAAGACAACATTAACCTAACATGATTTTCGTCAATAAATATTAGGTATACTAATATGTTAAAAACAAACAAAAAAAGACAACCATAACCTAACATGATTTTCGTCATAAATATTAGGTATACTAATATGAAGCGTTATAACTTAGTTTAATTGTGTGTCTGCTTTAACTTATCATTTTGTTAGCTGGTAGAGTTTTGGTAAACCAATTCTTTTTTTTTTAAGTGTACTGGTTTCAAGAGCTTGACATTTATAACTATGTTTTTTTAAAAAATAATATATTAAATTAACACTTGTGATATGTTTATTTTATTTCAATTATTTTCAAAAACGATTAAGGATTTTGTAGCTCTCCAGGTGAAACTAGCACTGCTTTTTGAATGTTATTCCATATCCCCAACAAAAATGGATAATCATGAAAAATCCAGTTTTTGGCTACTCGTAATATTGAACACCTAATATAAAACTATAGCTTCATAACACGCGTGTATTGTTTAGTATGTTAAACCTTTGTTTCAATTAGGAATTTCTTAACAGTGGTACTTCAGATTGGAGTGGATTTTGCTCTTAAGGTACTTAACTGGGATACCAACACTCTTATTCGGCTCCAGTTATGGGATATTGCAGGTATCGCCATTGTTATTTCAAACAATTTAGTAAAATACGTACTTAAAACTTTTAAAAAGTAAACTGTACTTTCACTCACAAGTAAATAAGTTTTTAAATTTTAGCCTAACTATAATTTGGTTTCTATGCATCATTTTACCTAATGTAACAACTACTTGCTGCTAAGAATGTCTTTTACGTATATCCAACAGTGAGCTCTTTCAATTGATCTAAATATTCAAGTTGTGATTATATAGCGTTTATAAGTCATACCTTCTGAAACTTAGTATCAGGTGTTTCTTTGTTTATGGTTTATAGTAATAGTAAAGGTTTTTAACTGTTTGTGCTGAAAATTAACACTGAGTTGAGTTCTGGTTGCCTTTAAATGAAAAAAATGTTAGAATATATCAAGCACTTGTAAAGGAGGAATTGTTCTTGTAATCTATTTACAATTTTTAACCTTTTCCAAAAAGGACAAGAAAGGTTTGGGAACATGACGAGAGTTTACTACAAAGAAGCTGTTGGAGCCTTTATTGTATTTGACGTCACAAGAATAGCAACATTTGATGCTGTTATGAAATGGAAATATGATCTTAACAATAAAGTCCATCTACCGGATGGAAGTGACGTACCTTGCGTTCTGTTAGCAAACAAGGTTGGTTTTTAACTTTAGTGTTTCAATACTGGAAGTGAACGTACCTTGTGTTCTGTTAACAAACAAGGTTGGTTTTTGACTTTAGTGTTTCAATACTGGAAGTGAACGTACCTTGTGTTCTGTTAACAAACAAGGTTGGTTTTTAACTTTAGTGTTTCAATACTGGAAGTGAACGTACCTTGTGTTCTGTTAACAATCAAAACTGACATACATTACATAATTATTCCTCCATAACAGAAATTGTTTTAAAACCTGTATGTTGGCATCTGTTAAAATTCTTTGCTTTGTGTCTAATTAATACAATTAACAAAAATGACAGTTTTAAAAATCTTTGTCTTATTATTAAACAGCAAGTGTTTTGAGAAAATAATATTGGTTTTAAATTCTGAATCTACTGTTTTGTTTTAGTAAAAAAGTCAACATTTATTTAACAACAACCACTGATAAACAAAAAGTATAATTTAAAATAATGCTACAGTAGATTCAGTGGACTGATGGAAATATTTTGTTTTTCTAAATTTGTAGAGCATACTGAAAAGATTGAGAAGTTTTGGCAATAAAGTTAAAAAAAAAAGGACTCTTACTCCAAGTAATAATAATAATATGAAAAATTATATTTTGACTTCATCAGGGCTAGAAGTATAAGAACTACTATCTGGAGAGTTAGTCATTTTATTCCGACTTTATTGCCAAAATTTCTAAATCCTTCTAATATCCACTACAAATTTTGAAAAATAATACTATGTTTTTCTAGTAACATGCATAACATTTTAAATAATATATTTTTTATGATAGACTTGTTTGTGACACTACATATTCTTGCACTCTTAATATCTTTCAATCCTAACTGGAGTTTTGTGGTAGTAAGTAGACTTTAGTTCCATATTAAATGCTTCTCTGTCTCTCCAGAAAGTATATATTTTAAATATAAGTTTAACATGATTGATGTGCGAGATGTAGGCAATCAGTTTTTAAGGATACGTTCGGGTAGGATGTACGCACATAAGGTTAAATGGACAAAACATTCTTTAAAGTACAAAAAGCTACATATTTTTCATTTAAACACATAAGCAACCACATAATTATTCTTATTGTAGTTGCTAGGTGGTGTGCACAGAATATTTATCCATTATTAGGTGAGTGAAAAATACAGATGGGTTTGGAAATTATGAAGCTGTAATAATGGGATAATTTTTGTTGCAGGAAATTTTATTTTTGCTTTAGTAAACTAAAAATTACCACAGTGATTTGCAATGTGTTGCTTTCAAATATTATCATTGGCTGCAGTGGTAATTGGACTAACCAGGGATTGGATAATGTTTTGTTGGGTGGTGGGCTTTCCAAGCTACAGTTGCCTCATGCCTAAAGATGTGGTATTCTGCGAGCAGTAATTTATAATGGAAGTGGACAACTATTTAGGATAGTGCCCACCACCGATAAGGTTTGCAAAATAGATAACATGTTAATATTCCATAACCCTTGAATGGCATGAAGTAGCCAGACAAAAGTGTAAAAAATTGCATACCTCCTGTCATCAATATATTTTTAATGTTTATTTCCCCAGAAATAAAATATGGTTTCATTTGATTGTCATGAGGCTTAATTAACTAAGGTAATGTAGTAAATGTTCAGGTCTAACAACTTGATGTCCATTGGTTATCTCAGTGTGACATGCCAAAAGAGGGAATAGTAAACATTCCTTCACAGATGGAGCAGTTTTGTCAGGACAATGGATTTATTGGATGGTACCTTACTTCAGCAAAGGATAATATTAACATTGAGGATGCAGTTAAGTGTCTTGTGTCAAATGTAAGTTCCTAATTTTTTTTCTTTCTCTCTCTCTTGCATGTGTATATATATATATATATATGTCTGTTATTTTTCTGTTTATTTGTTGTTGAATTGCTCTACGTTGGAAATGTCACAATTAAATTCATACTTCTAAAATACATTTTTTGTTGTTGTTGTTTATCGTATTTAAGAAACATTTTATGAAATTTGTGTAGATAGGAAGCAATGAGCATTTATAAATTTGTATGCATGTTTTTTTTTCTCTGTCTAACAATTTGCATTTTAAATAAATCTCTTAACTACCTATATTTATATTACCACATGTGTGTCTGTTCTTGTCTTAGTGGTTTAATCTCAGATAAAGTTTTGCTAGTTTTTCTGTAAGTTGATTTCTCCGTCCACATACTCAAGAGCAAATAGTAATAACGTTTGAAATGTTCTCTTCTCTAGATTCTGAGTAAACAAAAGACATCAGTAGTTGAATCTCTAAATAACAATGTATTTCTGGATTACCATGGCCATGACCATCAAGTCTCTGAAAGTAAGTGTTGCTTGTAGGTGGAAGAGGAAAGTGTTAAAAAAATTTTCTTGTGCATGTAGCAGCAGTTTTGCTTAGAGCTTTAGATGCAAGACAACTTTATGGTGATATTGGAAGTCAAACGATAAAATGTAACGTTGTTACAGATGTAAGTTAAGTGTGCCAGGTAAAATCTCGTAGCTGGGCTACACTAAAACAAAACGTCATAGGAAGATGGGATGAGAACTTTATACGATTGTAAGAAGCAGATGTGACTGTATATAGCAGGTCTATATGCATCAGCTGAGCAACAAAACTTACAGAACTTTAAATATATGAAGGGCACATTTTTTTTAACATTTGAAGCAAAGATTTCAAGTTCAAATTCTAAACAATGTAAAATGTAACAATTCCCTACACAGAATATAAGATGTATGGTAAGATAGCAGCTGGATCAAACAATTGTAAAGTGTATAAGTTGAATCAGGTGTAAGAACCCAAGGTTACATCTATAAAGTTAACAAAATATTTTAGAAGAGAGATATAAGAATAAGATTTAATAATTTACAGCATGAAAAATAAAGAAAAAATTGAAAGTAATAATAAACATAAAAGAAAGGTAAAGTGTAGTACTAAAATTATACGTTTTGGAAATGTGTGAAAGCTTAATGTGAAGTAACAGTAAAATTAAAAACTTATGAAACTTTAATTTCAAATTTACAATTAAAAACTTATGAAACTTAAACTCTCACTTGTAAATTTGAAATTAATGTGACAAAGATACATACTGCATATAATAATAAATATATAATGTAGAAGTGATATTTCGTGGACAGCCAAAACATGCAAGGTTAAGTGTAACAGTAAAGATAGAAGCTGTGAAATAATGCAGTAATAAATATTTAAAAAAGTGTAGAGCTGTACGTTGTGAATAAAGGATAACGACAAGATTAAATGTTGCAGTAATGAAGCTATATTTGTTATGTGGAATGTAATAACAAGCCTAAATACTCATTGATAAGTAGACGAGTTACAGAAAGGTTTAAAAATGAGTTTTATGTTGAAAGTACAGCTATAAATCTGGAATAAAAGTGAAACGATAGTTTTAAGTAATAGATAAAACAAACCCCCCAAAAAATTGATAGTAGGTTTGGAAGTGAACAGCAAGAAATGCACTGTGTTAAAAATATAATAATAGGTATACACATCCGTCCAGTTTGTATCATTCTTCATGATTTACATATATATCATCGAATGCACACATTGGAGTGTAATACAAAAATGAAAATTATATGTTTTATGTGTGAACATTTTATGTCTATTAACTGCTGCTCTGCTAGTACATACATTTGGCAGTCCGTCAATTCTTTTGTTGGATACAATGTAATATTGTATTCACTGTCATTTGTACTGATAAATAAGTAAAACGACCCTGTAACAACAAAAACTATAGTAGTACAGGAATTGCTAGGCTTTTTCTGAACTGGGTTTTGTCTTCAAGAAGAACGTGTGATATCTTTAAAGGTGACAAACCTTTTACGTTTGACAAACGTGCAAGTTAACTGACTGCTTTCTGTAACGTCGATGTTGTCACAAACTTTCTTATTGTTATTTTATGTTCTTCTGTATGTATTGGAACAAAACTAAATAAATACAAAGAAGTAAGTCTGAGTTGTGAATTAACAGTTACAGGAAATTACATAATTATTATGTGGTTAATTACGACTGTTGTACCAGTGTAAATGGAGAAAGGCTTAAAATATAATCGTGTTTTTAAAATCTATAAATGCAACCTATTTTTATAATTATTGTGTGTAAGTGTTTCAATTTTTTTCATTTATAAATTTCGGAAGACACGTTTTTATAATCAAGAAAGGTAGGTTTAGCATAAGTTTTAGGCACGATGGCGCCAGTTAATTTTGTTTTCAAGCATTTCGTCACTGGTCTTTATAAATTTTACTAACATCCTTGTATTGCAAGTATTTCAGATGGGTATGCTTGGCCTTTTTATAGTACAAGATAATGATTTTATTATATTTAAGGTTTTCACTAATAATCAAACTGTAAAAATGGGCAAAAAATTAAAGCAAATTATTTTGAATACCAAAAGTCTTTGACCTTCGTGTTTATTAATAATATATTCATAAAACTATACTTTTAAAAGGGAACATTGTTTGATTCAAACAAACCATATATATCAAACTTCATAGATGAAAAAATAATCGCAAATAAAATGGAGAACAAATTACCAGTGTCACTATTTTTTTGGAATCTGAACACTGACTCGAGTTAGTTTCTTAACTGTAACTTCGAGTTCATTGTCTTCAATACTTGAGAAGTAACTTGCATTCCAAAAACTATAAATGTATATATTGTAATCCAATTTTATAGTGTTTATCGCCATATTTGGAAGTAGAAAATACCCAGGATTAAAAAAGGAGAGAGGAGTGCAGACTTCCCCATTTCTTAAAAATAGGAATAAAATGGACTAAAAATCTGTAGACACTTTTTCTTTCAAAATCAAGTTGCAAAGCTGCATAATGGACCATCTGCGCTCTGAACGCGACAGAAACCAAAACTTAAATTTTAAGGTTATACCTCCTGGAGCTTAGCCACAAATTATTTAACAAAGACCAATGTAGAACATGAACCATACAAATCGTCTTTATAATACGCCCTCTAGTATTTAAACTTACCAAGCAGTATTAAAATGCATGTAAATAACGAGAGTATAATAATCGGCCCTCAAATAGTGTGCCGTAAAGCACAAGAAATATTACAGAACCAGGGGTGTCATTTGAGGAAGGAGATCCCCCCCCCCCCCCCACAAGCCTAATGTGAAATGACGCTGCTACACAACGTTTATCTCCCTTTATCAAGTACGTATATTTTAAGGCGACAGGTAACTGTTGGATGAATGGCTAAATTGAATCGTTTGTAGACCTACTTTGGTAATGTAACTTATAGAAACTAAAAACCACTTCAACAGCAAAGGAAGAAAACACGTTTCTACTACATATTAGGTCGTAAAGAAATTAATGTCACTATTTTTTTTAGATAAAAACAACTTTTATATCAAACCAAACAATTATTAAATAAAAGTCTCCATTCTTATCGATGATGCTTTTTCATCTTACAATTAAGGCTCTGATTAAAGAAATCACTTGGCTTTGAAGAAAAAAACGTGGCCCTTTTTAACACCTTCCACATTAAGTTGGTGTTGCAGCGAACGAAAACGAGATAATGTGAATTAGGCTTAAACACGGAAACACTAAATATTTATTTGGGAATTAGTCTTCAGGATGAAATATTTTCATATAAATGGTGGTGATTTGACACCCATTTTATATATAGCTTCGTCATTTTAAACCAGTTTGACATATAAAAGCATCCTTACCAGAAAATTTTGTAACGCACACGCCGTCCTCTTTACCACCTATATGAATGACCCTGGAGAAACTATTTACCAAACTTATTCTTACGTCACTTTTCAACGAAATTAATTTTAACACACTATCAAACATCTTGCGAAGTCACTGCCACTAGTAGCTTTTGGTAATAAACATTTTTGTTAAACAGTTAACGTAGTTTTATTATTTACGCTTATTACTAGTTTAAAGAGAAAAAAAACAGTCATTTGGAAATGTATAATGTTCACCTGTAGAGAAATTTCTCAAATCGCTTTAATGTTAGGTTATGTCTCTCACGTGCTTCTAGTCTTATATATATACGCACAGCGTGGTCCAAAAATATCTTTCCAATTTCAATACTTAATAATTAAAGAAATACAACCACGCAGTTTTCAGCATCTTGTAGCCTAACTAAAACAGTTTTTATTTACTCACTGCGTCAAATGGCACTACCTTTTCAATGGGGTATGTTAAGGGCATCGTGTATTGCACACCTATGGCAAACACCACGAAGCTAAAGACAATGATAACGGACGTCGTCGCCACAATAACTGTGGACGTGTTGCAGCGAATGTGGGCTGAAATCCAAGATCGGTTAGACGTGACGAGTGCCACTAGTGACGCTCACGTAGAAGTCTACGTATATGTCAGTAAAAACTGTTGAGTTGGGCTAAAAGATACTGAAAACTGCAACTATTAAAATAGTAAAGATAAATTTGGACCATATGTTATAACTTTCAATTTAGCTGTAGCGCATTGTTGTTTTTACTTATATGTTGTGTATTCAAGGCACAGAATATCAATAATGGAAAGAAAGTAAAATAATTCCAAGATTACGTGTTTGTTAATTGTACAGTATACGCAATACTTTCAATAAGAGGTTGTAAACTATAAAAGAACATTTTATATTATTAGTGCTTTTTAAGCGCAGATATGATAATCTGTTAAATAGAAATACTACTAAAAACAGAAACAAATTAAAACAAAACTGTTCTTGTACTCCTTATTTTTATAATTCTGTTAAGTATATACAGTCTCATTAAGGAGAATGTCCGGGCTTGTTTATAAATGTGCAACAAATGAAACGCGCTCTTGCAACGGATACAAACGTGCAGAACGAAGCAAACGTGTATAGCGGTCGAGCCAAGTTTCCAAGGCTCAGAATAGCCTACGCGATATGGCGTGATATCAATCAGATCAAGGAAATAAAGCAACAAAGTAGTAATGGATTGGGCTGGTACTGTGTATTTATTCTAGGCAACTATAGATGTTGATATATTAGTTTCAAATGAAATACCTACATTAAAATGTATAGTCTTACCTATTCTAGTATAGTAATCACATAACTCAGCCTGCTGTTTCAGTAATAATGAGTGCAAAATATGTTTACGAAACACCTATTCCCTCACTAATGTTATTCTGCTCCCCAGTTTGATGATGTATTATCTGTCCAAAAGGTTGGGGGAGATTTTTATATGTGATAAGAGTTAATCAGGTCAAGAACTTTGCATGCAAATCCTGATGTAAATTTGGTCAAAATACATCCATCAAATCATGAAATATCCGGTCATCCACAAGATTGGACAGACAAGGTCAAACCAATATGCCCCACTTTGCAGTGGGGGCATAAAAATGTAGAGCAAGAGTGAGACATACTGAAGATTTTAAGATGACTATTTTTACATGCTTTCACATTTTTACTTTGCAATATAAATCAAATAATTTTTTGTTTTCAGTAACTTAAACATCTTGGCAAACGTTTAATAAATCTGTTTAACACACTCAAAACATGTTCGTTTTCTCGAAAACAAATAATCTGTCTTACTAAAGGTCTGTTTATTGATTCATTCACAACTGTGTAAAGCAGATGGTTTAATGTTTGCAAGACGCTGTTAACGCCACCCCGTGGAAAATGTGTTAACTACTTCCCTTATCATAATAATGGCGTAGCTCTTCGGATACAATGACATTCGTCGACACTTCCCGTATATCTCCTGCCGATACATTTAACATAAATAAAAGCGGTTTAAATCGGGTATGAATTTAAAATATTAAGTTTTCTACAAAAACTGTGCTTGACCGAGTTTTCAAAGGTAATGGGAAAACAACTATACAAGTGCTTTAAATAAAAATATGACAGAAAAGTGAATTTGCCACTTAAACCAACCGATAAATATATTAAAAAAAGAACCTTAATAACGTACAGATTTTTTACCGATTTTTCAATGGGAATTAGTTTCAGTGAGTACAGTAATCGGTTTAATGTACGTGCAACAGTATACCAGACATTTTGCTTGTATTGTGTAACGTCAGATATATTTCATTTCTACATTTGTACAATTGTGGATACAACGATAACACACCTCGTTAGTTGTTTAAACATCCAAACTTAAAAAGACCAACTATTATATTTAGAACAAATCCAAAACCGTAAGTAAAACAATTAATTAAACAATGTAGAACAGTATTAAAGTATGAAACCAAACAGGGATTATATATATTTATTTTTTATTTACTTCAAGCCACTTCTTGATCACTCCACAAATGCACATTTGCCAAATTATTCATTTGTAATTACTAGTTTTTTTCTCAGAATGGAATGCATGACAATGAAATCCCCATTCAACAAACCACTGAAGTTCACTCAGTCATCCAATGATGGAAATCGCTGAAAGACAAAATGCAAAGTTTAACCACTCTTTCTTAGGAAGTCATGATTCTTAATTGGAATATTTCTGAAGCAGATTTGTCCACCAGCATGTTTTACAACTACCATTAATACTCTAGCAGCTACTATTTAAAGTGATAAAAAAATTGTTGACTCAAGTTCAATAATAAATGATACCCTACTTGAAAGTAGAGCTACATAAAATATTTACAGATGATGTAACAGGTCAAACTGTCAGGAACAAAAAACAAGTCAAAATATGTAAGTGAAACCACTACTGCACTAGTTAGAAGAGAGAAAATCACTTACTATGTCCAATAAATAAAGTATTGTAGCCCTCAACAAGTTTTAAAACTAGTGGTTTAACAACTGACATTCTTTAAACAACACTAAATTTATGGTTTTAAATCAAGTAATTTACCATGTATTACAAAATAATGAAATGCCAAATACTTTATTTTTCTTTATTAAAGAACTATCAAACACTATAAAATATGATAGCTTTAACAATACATCTGCTTATCTGAACACAATTTTTAAATGTTTGTTTCTTGCAGAATAATACTTTCCAAAAACTCAAGTAGGTACAAAAAAAAAAACGTTACTTACATAAACTTATCTAGTGAAGCTTAATAACTATTTCTTTGAAGCTGCAAGATGGGACAACAGACCATGCCCTGTTAAGAAGGTAAAGGTTCCTAAAAGAGCCAGTAGCTTCAGTGTGGTGAACATATCCAGTTGGAGCCAGAACAAACCAAACAATCCAAAAATACCTGAAGTATCAAAAAAACATACATATACATAAATACATCTTTAAGAAAACAGCACATACAACATGTATGTTATTTAGCTAACACAGCATGCTAGAGTAACACATCCTACATAATGGAGGTGATATTTAGACACAAGAAAAAAAAATGAAAGAAAGGAATAGAAACTTTGATTTTCAAACAGTTTCTTTTCTCAAATGTTTCCACCGTGTTATGTTAGCACACAACCTAATTATACCATTTGATAACCATAACTTAAAATGAAAGATTTAAAAGCCAGTGGTCCGAGATAAAAAACAACAACAACAATGCATCAATACATCTATATTAGTAGGTTAAGAAGCCATACACTTTTTCAATAAAATCAACAAAAAGTACTTTGCACCGAGATGCATTAATGAATGCAAATACTTATATTGGTCATTATTAGTTAAACAGTTTGATACAACAAAACATAAGCTTACCTCCTAGCCCAAGATGAAAACCAAAAGAACTTAATGAGCAAGGAAAATTTGAAAGGTTTATTCCAATTCTCAGCCACTGAAAAAATAATAAAACTTATAATTCTTAACTGAATAAGAACAATAAGTTTAATGTAGTCAATTTAAACAAATACAAACTTGTTTCTCGATTCCTTCCTATTACCACACATTTCTAGGTATATATTATGTATTTGTTGTCCATTAAAGAAAATATATTGAGTGAATTAAGTATTTTGTGCAACTTATTTAATTGTTCAGATTATATATAAAAAACTCGTCATATACCATGTATAATTTTTCTGAGTTTTATCTTTCAATGCCAATGATATTTTCTTTTAGTTTTACCAATTTTTTTTTTGTTGTCACAGATTGAGAAACCTCTATTTAGGGTTAGGTCCTTTAAACAAGTTTAATAATAGTGTTTGTAACATCATTTACTTTTAAATGTTAAGAAAATTTTATGACTGAACTGCTTTGATACTGTAAACATAGAAAATAAACCCATTAAATATCAAGCAGAATCAACATACACACTTAGATATTCAGGGAAAATCTAATGACCATAATATGTATAAAAAAATCAGTAAACCTACGGGATCATTCAATTCCGTCAAGGGTTCCTCACATTCTGTTAACCATGGAGCTTTTACATAAACATTAAATAAACATAAAATTAATTATAAACTATTTTTGAACTATTACATATTATATGAACAGCCTAAGAAGATATGCTCAGTAATTAAGTTTCACCCAATGATATTCAAAGTAGTTCTAGCATCTGGACACTGAATGGTAAGCTGATGAGGAACAAGAATGTAGTTCTTTACTGAAATTCTCCCCAGGATTTAAGTGAGATATAAATAATAAAAAATAAACAAAAAGGTTTCTAGACACTGGGATAAATTGGCTTATATTTTTTGGGGGGAACATACATGTTTTGACAGAACACGGGTCTATTTTATTCTGTTGTTTGCCAACTTACTATATTAGCAATATTTGTATCCATACTCAAAAAGCTAAATAACCCATTCCATATAATGAATCCCAGATAAATTACACTTACCAAAATTATAAGCAATAAAAATGGAACAACTATCAATACTGAAAATGTATTAGATACTGTTGAGGATGGTCGTTTTTCTTGCTCCCTAAACACATGCTGTAGAAAGGGAAATTAGAAAATTTTAGAATTAATATTTTAAATTAAAAAGATTAATCTTATCATGATATTAAGTCATCCTATAAATTATTTTTATAAATATAACTTCTTTACAAAAGTAGTGGAAAAATTACCAATTATAAAAATTATTTATTCAAAACACAAAAATTTGATTATTTTATGTAAAACTTACTCTCTCAAATACATTAGAGCATAGGGAAACACATATTTACATTGTAGTTGTGCTGTGTCATCTCATAGACCAACTTGAGATATATAATCTAAGCCGGGTGTGGGAGATGAATTATTCTAGCACCTTTATTCCAAAACAAAAGATTTAACCCATCTTCTCTTTAGATCGTTAAGATGCTTTTTCTTTCAACGCCAATATATTCACAGAAAAATTTGTTTACAAATTCATTCTGTAGCTGTAGGAAATGATAACGAGACAAATATAATGCAAAATTCAATTTTTTTAAGTTGTTTGAAAAATATCACATCTTTAGTGGGTATTAGTGGAATGAATAAAATTAACTGGCTATAGTAAAAAAAACAACTGCCAGGCAAGAGAAAACAAAAGTACTGTACTTAATAAAGAAACGAAACCAACAACACGCAAACATGAAAAACACTTCATGCATTAATAGGAAGATACACGAGCCTTCTGTACCGCTGAAAACAAGCTGTAATATTAGGCTGCATGAAAGTGACAAGTATTACCAGTTACTTTAAATTTCTTCACTAAAACAGTAATGTCTGTTTGCATTTTAATGAAAATTAAAAAATGGATAAACCTTTGCAAAAGATATCTACAAAGTATTCCCCAAACTCCCCATAAAGTATGAAACATAGCTACCCATTTGTTTGTGTAATCAGTGTAACAAATCAATTACTTACATATTACGTAAGACCAGAAATCAGAATTATAACGAAATACTAAGAAAAAAAATAACATTTAGTTTCATTTGATCAGCTAAATTAAGCACGATTTTAACCCTTATCAAACAAAAACTATATCAATAGGTATAGAAATGTCAATCCCAAACATCTGATGTACTACCGTAAAAACATTACAACCAACTCTGCAATACCACAGTTTAACGGGGATTTTAAAATTAAGCTCATTTCTAATACAAGAGCCAATTTAATACTACTATAAATAATTATTAGGTTTAGCTAGAGTACTACACCACCTTACACAATTATGATAAAAATATACTCAGTATACAGTAAATTTTTCTACTGATGTAACAAGAAATACATATTCACACGTATATTTTTCATTGAAAATATTTCATTATGCTGGAGATAGTTAACTGCCCATTTATGCTATATTAAATCTATTATTTAGCTGCAACTATGACTGATGAAACTTAAAAAAAAAATACTATCAGGCAACAAATGTCCACTTAAATTGCCCAGTGAGCCTTTATCTCCTTTGTTCGAGGTTAGCATTCAAAAACTAACAGAAGTGAAATGATCCTGCCATCTGTTGATGTTCCCATGCAGTAAACACTACGGAAACTGTTATAATACTTATTCTCTTCATTAGAAGTTAAAGTAAAGGAATGTTTTTTGAAATATAACAAACACTTTACTGGTTTAGTACATATTTGTACCAAAACGAAACAAAGATGGAGTTAAATTAAACGTCTAATAAAGGTCATGAATTTTCAAATCCAAATATATATATTAAAAAAAAAATCAGTTATAAGATACTAGAAACAAGATTATCAAAAGTGCCAGCCCAAAAAGGTACCTATAAAAATTAAAGAAATGCTTCCTTTATAATCAATATTTATGTAATTTAATTATGCTGGTAGATTAAAATACACAACAGTTTAAATACTTTATTTTCTAAATTCATACCTTTATAGTTAATACAGTTTAACCCTGATCAACACTTAAAAAAGGTAGGGCATGTACAGCATTTTGAAGAGTTGTAATAGTTTTCATTACCTTTCATTAAAAGCCTGTTTATTAAACTATTTATTTTAGGAGTACATACACATTAAAGAGAAACAATCTGCGTAACATTTACTTTTTTCCCTAATCCAATCAATCACTCATAATAATATTTGATAACTTTTTTTCCCTCATCATACTTACGTGTATTTCTGGTTTAGGTGCATATGGGTTTTGTGATGGTTTTGAGGGGTTGGGATTTGGAGGAAAAGTCAGCTTTAGGTCACCCTGTCAAAAACATTCATAATCAAAACTGGTGTCTCATTTTAATTATCACTTGATAAATTGTTTGAAAATTATTTTCCAGATCAAACCAAGAAAAATAAAATTCAATTTCTCTTGAATCTTAAAAAAGATTCAACAACAAAAAAAAACTTGTATGCTTTGAAATCATAAGAACACTGGAAGAAAAGAACTACCACTTTAAAAACATTACAAGTTTTTTGTGTCTGATAGAAAAATATATTATAAATTTTCTTCTATATACTAATGTGGGCTTTTAAATAGTGAAACACAGTTTCTGACCACTGGTTACGTGGAGAATAGCCAATTTTTTTAGCATCCTCTAAAAAAAGACTAAGTTATAAAACTAAGCCCACTTCAGGAAAGAATGCAGATATCAAAGCAACTTTTCTCCTAAGTAAACTACATTTATCAACTTGCTTAAAAATAAAAAATTTTAAGTTTTAATTCAGTTACAATTATATTTCCACTATTCACCTTTTGCAAGGTTTACAGTGGTACAAATGTTTATATTTATCTCTGTTGTTTGCTTCTGGCTTATTTTAGTTATTATTACTTGAATTTCCACTAAGTTCACTTGTTACTTAATTTAAAAACCTTCAAATACAAGAACTTTCAAAACATAATACCTCAACATTTTATATCTCTCCAAGAATTTTGGTTTGGAATGCAAGTTACATGTATAAATTAACACAACATGGCTGAAACAATTTATAAGTTTGTGCACTAATCTAATACATAAGCTGCTTTGGAAACACTAATGTATACAAAGTTCGTAGTTTAGCAATAATCTCCACTTCAAGGAACTGTCCGAGCCATATTAAATTTCAGTTCAATAATAATAATAAATTAGGACATTAAATTACAAAGACAAGATGCAATTCATATTTTTTTTTTCCCATTTAAACATGTTCTCTGCTGCCCAATAACCTGATATATATTTTCATTTCATGAATGAAATCATAGAAGAGCTGATGAAACAATTCTGGTAGGATACGTGTTGCCCAACTGCAAGGAAGCTGTGCTTACATAAGCTAGGGAGGCATTTTAATATACGGAGGCATAGGTAGAGACGATAATATGCACTAGTTATTGTTTCTATTAAAAGAAAAGTATACTCTTGAAACGAAAGTTAATTTTGGTAACAAAGCTGTTAATTAATCATTCCTAATGCTTCATGTGTATGTGGGTTTCAAACTGAGATATTAGATTTGGACCAATTTTACACATTACTGATAAAAATTCAGCCACCTATACTGGAAATGGATGAACAGAATGAGTTCTTCGATATCAGACTTATAATGAAAGGTCATATATAATACACACTGAAGCTTGCATATTATTATGAATGACATTAAGTCAAAAATTTATTCTTAGACCATATCAAAAAGCCCAATAATCTATTTTTTTTATCTTTTTTATTCTGACTCATAATGTAAGTAAAATTTCTAAAGCAACACTTGTAACATACCATGTACCACTTGACAGGGTTGGCAATCACAGAATCTCCAACAATTAAATTCAGTTCATAATCACCAGACATATATCCAAAATCTTTAGCTTTGTTGTTCAGATCCTAGATAAGAAATAAAACACTCTTTATCGTTAAGTTTGCCAAATTCTCTACTCATTGCCACATTTAACTTTCTAAATATCAACCAACAGAAGTGTTTATCACTTGATCCATACATCCATCCTTTCCTTTCCAATCTAAATGTACAACTGGATCAATACATATAACCAACTTTTAGATATTATTAACAGATATCAAAATACATTTATAAAATATTTTTTTGTGGGCATTTCAGATAGTGCAACACAGCTTCTGACCACTGGTTACGTGGAGTGTAGCCCATTTCATCTAGCATCCTTTAATAAAACCTAAGTTAAAAAAAACAACTAGGTCTAGTTTAGCAAAGGATGCAGAAAATTATATATATAACAATGTCCAGTACCAAGATATTTCAAAAGTCTGTTGCAGTATTAATAATTAGATTTTGTTTTAACTAATAATAATCGATTTTCAAACATTTTCCCCTTTATAACATCCAAAAATAATTGTACTTTATACCCATAAAAAGGTGTCGCTTTAGTAGCACTGCTATAAACAAAATTTAAAGACATATACTTTCATATAAATTAGTAAAGGCCATCCAATTTCTTTAATTAAAAGAAACAAATGTTTAATGGAACAAGAAATTGGCCTCACACAAAAATATGTGAAATACGTTTTATACAAGTAAAGCATTGTTTCTCTTAACATTTTAAAACGAAAAAGATAATAAATGTAACTATTAACTATAGAAAACTATTTTTGAAATGCTAGGTACAATTTCTGAAGCATATTTTTCAAATGATAGTCCACGTTAAGAATCTCTCATTACTGAAGAAAAAAAAAAACAACATTTAGAACAGACTTTTCACCTATAACTCACAAAATTATAAAGACAACAACAAGATCACTTACAACATCAAACTTGTAGACACTGCTAGAGTCTGGCTCAGCCACAAAAACTATCTCCTGTTTCGTTTGCTTATTCAATAACTGGACAAAGGCCTGGTGAGATGTCATTGTTGTCCCAGCATTCATATCCTGCAAGATGAACTTCATTACCAGCTTCTGATGATGGTCTGCCTCTAAGGGAGTACCAAGCTTCTTGCCTTGTTCCAACCTTAATGACATAACATTAAAATCTATTCCAGTGATCATAATATTGTTCTACCAATATATCAGTTACACAAAATGTTCTATTTTAAAATCTGTTGCAATTAATAAATCAGGTGGAAAAATATGAGCCATGTTTAAAACTTTTTCAGCAATTAAATATTTACACAAGATTATTATAACTAAACTGTCGAGGTACTAAACACACACACACACACGTATGATGACCATTTTTCATACAAATGACTAAAATAAGCGAAATATTTCCGACAAAATGGAATCTTGACAAACAAGAGATTTGCACTGTTACTTTTCTTTAACATGTAAATAGAACAATAATCTAACACACCAAAATAAAGATTCCTTGAATTCCTATCATAGAGAATAAAAAATTAACTGTACTAGCAATCACTACTACCACCTGAATTAAAAATAGATATTTTTTACTTACTTAGTAGCTTTTGGAGTAGTGGCCTGGTCCCTATCCACTGTTCCCACCTCAACCTTCTCAATTCCCACTTTAGTCATCACCTTGACATTAATCTACCAAAAAAAACATTACACAAGCTTATAGATAAAATGTAAATGTGCATACTGAATATCAAAATAAGATAGTACACAAGAAATAAGTTTCAAAAATATTTAATAAACACAGACATAAATAATTCTTATGTATCATATTAGGACTCGATTTTAACAGTCACTCGAGACAACTAAAACTTTTTCGGATGACCAGTGCACTGGAGCAGACATTTCTCAAAACAGCATCACAGTTTACTGTACACTTATCCATTTCCCACAATACAGACATAATGTTAGACTCCGATCCTCAATAAAAAATCATTGGTAAATTCCCTAACAACGAACTTGAAAATTTGAACCCTCACAAAAATATTTTTTGGTTTTTTGATTTGTTTAAAAAAAGATTGTACGTTGTACAAGAAATATGTTGGTACAATCCACCAAAAGGGGGCCAAAAATGTTAAGAAAAGTTTGCTCTTGTTATTGACAATAATGCTGTTTTCATTACTAAACTTTTTATCATGGACAAGCTGTGCCTCTGTGCTGCTTTTTGCACATAAATTTAGTATGAAGTTCAAATGAGCATGAATGGCTGTGTATGCAAACATAATACAGTGTATCCAGCTTAGTTACATTACCACACATTGTATTGTGCAATGTTTGTATGAATATATACGAGCAGGCAGGAATTTGCAAAGGAAATGAACACCAATATTTAGCGAGATTAACTTCTAATATAGATACTTAAAACAATAAAACTAACATGGCTGTTTCAACTTCTTACTGATAAACCTTTTGTAAGAACTAAAACAATCAAATTTACAAACTCATACACAGAATTTTCATAGTTAATCACCATAGTTGAAACACCGACCCCCTTTGGATTACACATGTATGGGCCAAAGGCTAACATTATACACGATTAATTGAGTCTATGAAATACAGAAGGCCTAGCTACCATGAGAAAATCCACAAATTAAACATAACGATAACTGCAAACTAAATTTTATGAAAGTTTGATCAGTACGAAACAGAATAACAATAAATAAAATAAGTCTAGCTTTGCCTCTATCCAGGTCAATATAAACTATGAGTATGAACGAAAATACATATCAGCGGTGTATGTGTGTAACACTCAGGGATTGTGTATGTAGTACAGTATAGCAGATGTTATTAACAAATATCAAAATACAATTATAAAATTATTTTTTGTGGGCATTTTAGATAGTGCAACACAGCTGCTGACCACTGGTTACGTGGAGTGTAGCCCATTTCATCTAGCATCCCTTAATAAGACCCAAGTTAAAAAAAAACTAGGTCTAGTTTAGCAAAGGATGCAGAAAATGATATATAACAATGTCCAGTACCAAGATATTTCAGAAGTTTGTTAAAAAGTCCCAGTCTGCTGCAGTATTGATAATTAGATTTTGTTTTAACTGATAATAATAGATTTTCCAACATTTCACCCCCTTTATTACATCCAAAAATAATTGTAATTTATACCCACAATAAGGTGATGCTTTAGTAGCACTGCTATAAAAAAAAATATATAAATACATATAATACAGTAAAATTTATAAAGCATAATGTATATACTTTCATAAAACAGGTAAAGGCCATCCAATTTCTTTAATTAAAACGAAACAAACTTTTAATGGAATGAGAAATTGGCCTCACACAAAAAGATACGAAATAAATTTCATACAAGTGAAGCATTTAATCACACTAGACTCATCATATCCATTGCCGACAACAATTTGCCCAATTCAGAGCTCTTCAGGTTGGCTGGGATTCAAACTATTTATATAATCTATTTGTTACAACAACAACTGTTATGGTATGGATGCCTTTTAGAAACTGGCAATGCACGATAGTTATTTACATTTGTCATAAGACATTATGTTGGCCTAATAGAATTTTCAATGCTACATTACTACGTTAGGAATGTCTAGTTTGTTGATCAAATTCAGCCCTAAAAATCATGTAATTTAAAAAAATAATATTCTACCTGCCTGTCAAAACAACACATGATGCGAAAGACCTGGGCTAGTATACCTGCTGTCTTTCATGGGTAATTCCAGGCCTTGGATAATTTCATTAACATTTTGAGACAAGAGTACAGTACATCAACCAGTATCACAATAAAAACAAAAAATACTGTAAGTAATAATGTATCTTACAGAAGCACCTGTGTTTCCTACAAGTCGGGAATCTGGTTTCACAGGTACAGCACTGACTGAAACCTTGTAAAATCCTCTCAAGGGTTTGCTTTCCATGAAGTTCAGGCTATAGGCAGAGCTACAAAAAACAACACACAACTGGAGCAAACTACTTTCATATTCAAGAAATAACAACAAAAAACACATCACGGTTCAGTTAGGGTTAAGCTTTTTAAGAAAAGAAACTTTCTTGGGAATAGTTAGTATTATGTTAAATACATTTCTATAAAATTTCTAATATTCTCATTTTATTGTAAAACAATTGAAAGCCTTCAAAGCCACAGTGCCATACTAAATATTAGCCACCAAGAAATAATTCATGCAAAACAACAATGCTACATTTCCTTTCTAAAATCCTTATATCATATTATGAAAGCCACAATTACTACAAGGACCACAAGCAGAGAACTGACATCAAACAACTATCATAATGAAGACCAGTTAGTATGGAAACCACTAAGTTTTATATTGTAATCTGAAATATGTTTACAGAATGTACTTAAAAGATTATAAGAGGTAACACGAATGGCTTGTTTGTAAGCTAACTACATTCAAATATAAACTTCTAATACAGTCAATATTTGTTTAAAAGTACGTACTTGTCTCCCTGAACAGGTGTAAAAGCCTTCTTGCTCATAATAACAGCACTGTCACCCAATCTTGTAGCAGTGTCAGCAGTAACAGTTAAAGGACCCAGGGGGTCTCCCAACACATTAGTCACTCGGACCTGAATTACTGGGTTGTCAGTAGACAAAGCACTGTTACTGGCCACTGTAACAGCAACTGGAATGTGATACTGTCGAGAAGGGAAAACAAATTAGTAATTTAACTAATTTTTACTATTTTTTGAACTTTATCGATTAAAGAAAAAATGTCTTATATGAAACACTAAATATATTTAAAATAGATATGGAACAAATTATAAACTAAACAACGTTGGAGGAAAATGGGACACTTCGTGAAAATCTCTGAGAAAATTATTCAACCCTTTGTGCACAGCATTAAACAACTGCATATCCTGACACTTTACTGTTACATTCAAACAGTAATGAAACTTTATAATCAACGTATGTCAAACTTGGCACCAGAACACAGCTTACAAATCAAGATTTTTATATTATCCAAGTTCTCTTAACTTCAAAATATTTACAAAAATGCTCAATCTTTGTGTTGTCATGAGACATACATGTGCTCTCAATTCTCCTCTATGAAGTTTGTACAACTTCTACAGTACCAAACTAATATAAAAACAAGGTCACAATTCCAACATCACAACTTCATTTGAACAGGAATTTCTCCACTTCACTTTAACTCTCAAGGCAGTTTTCAAAAATCACGTGTTCTTATTTGATGTAAGTACTTATAAACAATGGAAATTCTTTTTTTCTATTTGAAACTTGCAACCCTGCTTTTGAATTTGGTGGCAACAGGCATCAGTCAAGAGAAACTGACATTTGTGTTATTAAATCAAAGTTGTTGTTAATAGCATTAACAGAATTTTCTATCCTATTTATAGCTTAGTTAGAAAGCCAGTTAAATGAAAGTAGTTTCAGGACATTTATTCTCATGACTGATATGTGTACATTGCATTCTAAAATGCATATGTGAATTTTTGTTTGGACAACAAACTTACATAAAAAAAACATGCCCATTCAACTGCACATTTTGAATCAGGAGGTATGATGATGTACCAAATTCTGTTAACATGTTCCTGCTGTGACATACTGCTTTTATTGCATGAACTACTTACATCATACAAGCCATGAAAAACAATAAAATTCAAATGTGAAAAGGTTAACAAATAAAACTGTGAATGCCATTAAATAAAGATGTGGCAAATGTGGCATGGCAACAAATGATGCAAAGAAAGAAGAAAAATTATTTTATATTTTATATCATAATTTAAATTTTCATTTCAAATGTACTTTGATATTTTTAGCTACAGTTAGGGTAGAGAAAATAACAAATAAAACACAGTTTTAGTAAAAAAAAACAATAGCTTTGATATACATTTAGGAAATTCTAGAAGTTATGCAAATTAAATATGAAAATTGTTCTTTGCATAAAAATCATCCTGCACTCAGACTGACTCAGTAAAAGCTTCATATATTCACAGCCAAACCTTTAGTAAAAAATTGAAACAGATTTGTAATGTTTGCTACAAGCTTACCAAATTTTGTAAAGATACAAAGTAAATTCACAATTATAATAAACAGAAACAGAGTTGGGTCCAACGAACAAATGCCATGCTAACTGGGTTAACAAAAAACAAAATCTATGCTATTAAATCCTCTTTGTTCAATCTTCTAAAAACCAAAAACACTTATATAAATATAAATTAAAAAAAAATCATTTTAACAGCCACAGCTATAATAAATAAATATGTTATTAGCAGGCAGTTCTATCCTTAAACACTTTCAAAGTTTCATGCACTTGAAATATACATCAATGTTTACAAAAATCATTTATTGAATGAGAATATATACTGCTTAAAACTTAATCATATCCAGATTGTCAAGTTCAGATCACACTTAAAGCATCTTTTATTTGCAGTAATACAACATAACTTACTTTTACACCACTGATTTGTGGATTAAGATGCATTAAATGAACTGTCTTACACATACTAATATTTTTTATATCTTGAGCTATGTTTGAGCCACAATTTTTCAACCATTCTTAAGTCCTCTATCAGTAGTTTATATGAGATGGGCTAATATCTAATGAGAAAACATTCATGCCATTTTGAAACGCATCTAAAGTGGTTTAGTTGATAGTAAAAAATCAAGCATTAATTTTCAGTTTGGTAACTATTCAATTATGTCATACCTTAATCCAAAGCCACTAAAATTTTCTTTAGTAGTTCATGCAAATGTCATAAGCCCAGTTGAGATTGGGAGGAGATAAGTAATCCTTCCGTAGCATCCTATTAGGTCTTATGAATTTATTATTTGACAAATATTAGTTTTCCTGAATAAAATCCCACTTATGTTTACTTTACAAGTGTTAATGTATCCATACCTTAAGTAGAATTTATGTCATTGAAAAAATTTTAAACACTGAATTCAAAAATACAACCCCCCCCAGAAATAAACTCTTAGAACGATAACTCTATATTTCTTGTCAGCTTACTTTGTTTACGGTAAGTAGTTTCAAGATATCCAAAAGCTGAGCCGCTCCTTTAGCAGTCTGTACAAATTTTCTACTCAAGAAGTAGTTGGTGAATTTCACAGCTTGTTCCTAAAGAAGAAATTATTGGAGAGAATTTTAATTATAATTACTAGTATCTTTTATCATTTTCACTTTTTTAAAACATTTATGGCTTTTTCAATTTAAAATCAAATTGCGAGAGTGTAAATGAGAAAACTTTGACATATCAAAGAGAAAGATTTTCCACATGTGCATTTCAATTAGACTACCTTCATCTGGACCATAATAAATAGGAAAATTACTACAGTATCACATTTATGCAATACAGCAACCACCATAACCAAAAATAGTGAAAATTTCCACATTTAGTACTGTGAGGCAAACAAGTTTTTAAGAAACAAAATGTCTTCTGGTGGCAAAGCAACAAGTCTGAGTTTCAACACCCACAATGGGCTGAATAAAGATATTCCATTATGCAGCATTGTAACAACAAACAAACAAGAATCACAATAATTCAAAATTACTTTTAACACAAAAAAAACATTTTACTGATTATGTACATAATAATTTTTATTTGATGGCTTTAGTATTAATTCATTTCCTTCGGTCTTATACTCGTGGTATCAAACCTTGGATAGAATCTTGATGGAATTACAAATTACACTGATAACATCTTCACTGAAACTACGTGCAGACTACTGGCAACTTTTCTTGGCCAATCTGCATGTGTTTACACTTAGCCTTTACGATGGTGATGTATTCCTTAAGTACAAAAAATCTGTGTTCTGTATAGCTAATAACCATATCTACTTGTAAATTTCCTACACATACACTGTAATTTAATGAATTTTCTCCATAAATTATAATCAAATCATCTTTTCAAAACAAATACATAAACCTGTAACAAATTATAACTCACCCCTGTAACAGTGGGAACTTTCTTAATAGCATCTGCTAGACGATACACGCCACTCATGATCGTAGCTGTTATACTGAGACCTCCTTCAAACTGAAACACAAAGCTACTAGTTAGAAATTTCAGCTCATAATCAAAGAATATTTTTTTTTCTGAAGGAAGGCACAGAATTATAAAAATAATTATGACAGCACAGCATATTAACTCCTTCAAGGAATAGAAAGAAAAAAAAATTTATGGTGTCCCAAAGTGTTTTCCAGCCCTCTAGTCTAAAATGCAAACAAGAGGAAGGATAGAACTATGACTTTACTTTCCAACGTCATGGAAGGAGAACCATCCTTGTGGCATCATGTTATCACGAAGGCCACTAGGTTTCCATGGTTACGTTGATTGTTGCAGATTGTGTTAACTTCCAGTTTTACTTATTATTCAAAATCTTTAGCTTTTCACAAAAATTGATTTAATCACAAAAGTAATCAGTTCCTAGAAAAGGATTTATTATTAACCTATGCTCAAAACTAATAAAATCGTAAATGCTAAGTCTAATTCAAACATCACCAGTGGTGAAAACCACAATACTTTTACTACTCGTAGCCACGAGTAAACTCCTCTTATGGCTTGCCAGTTTCAGAACCTAACATCCAACTTAACCATTAAGAGCTTTATTCAAGCAAACATTGAAGTAATTTTCCAACATTTCATTAAATTAATGAAATTCTCAAAACACAATGCATTCTGTTTTACATTCACAAATACTTCTCTGTACAACTAAATGACATATTTCAAGAAAGAACATTTTTATTAGAATGTAAGGAAAAAAAAATACCTGCAAGTGCTTTCCATCAACCTCGTCAGCTTGAACAATTACATCTTCAATTCTCTCAAAGAAAGAATTCATGTCACCCTGCAGCTGAGATGCAACATGGAATGCATAACCCAGACTGTTTATAAAAATAATATATATATAAATAAATGTGAAGGACTGGAGTACAGGTAAAGAAAAGTTAACCTCACAAATAATTTCCAACACCAAAGTATCCTGCACACTTAAAGAGATTGACTCAAACGTTTAAATATTTTCTATAAATTTGAAGGAATGATTTGGATATTCCAACTGTCAGGAATTAATGACTTAACACCATCTCAGAACATCTTGCTGTTCTCTTCACCATCCCTACACAACGGTGAACATTCAGTCCTTTTATAACAGTAAATATTCAGTCTTCATTTTTTAAGAAATCTTCAAAACCCCCCAGAACAAATAGCAATATACTTTATAAAGCTCATAATTCTTAACCCTATATACACAGTGTGCATGCTCAACCTTGTATAGTATGCCCAAAAAGCTTTTGTAACCAGACATTTCAATACCTCCAAATACAAATACTCGTTATAGCTCAGTGGCATTGCCTGTTGTTTTATTTACACTCTTTCCTGCTGGCAAGTTTCAGTTAGCTGTCTGTACTGAGATTCACATTTAAAAATATTGTACTTGTGTATTTATACAGATTTAAATTCTTTTACAGCATTTATTATTGTTTAAAATTGTTAGTGTTACAGATGATGTAGAAATATTGTATAAAACAAGATGTCAAAATATTTCCTGTAAAATATAGCAAGGGAAATGCTTTTGTAACTAGAATTTTTGCCTATCCAACACCAGCCAGGTCTGGATAATAAAGCTCTTACTCTATTATTAACTTTGCAATAGTTCATGTTAAAGTAGAGAAAATACTTTACACTATACAAAAGAATAATGAAAGAACTGGAAAAAAAAATTCACTAAGGAGGCTGCAGGGATTGTGAAAACAAAATTTGCAAACTATGTGATGGAGAAAAGTATTTTCATTCTTCGTACAAACACCAATTTGCACCAAGACTTCTCAGATTGAATCAGATAGACTTCACCATTTCACAGACATATTGTTCATACAAAAACCTTAGTAACATACAACTTTTTTTTTTGTATACAACAGATTTGTATTGTTAAGTAACACAAAGAGGATCCCAGCAACAAGTGGAATTATTTGCAATACTGATACCCTACTACATACTAAAATCCTTTCTCCATTCCTCACAAATGCTTCTGTCCCTAACACACTTTGGGTCCAGTCAAGCCCAATTGGTGCTCGCTCATACCCGAACAAACCCGACTAATCCTTTTTGCTGCTAAATTTCAAACTATTGCTTCACTCTCAGCTCACACCAACAGAACAGTAGGATCTCTGCCAAAACTATATGCACGTGTTAACATTTATAAATGTGCTTTAGAAACAAACATTACTTTCTTTTAAATGAAACAGCAAACTGACAATGTGAATTGGGGTATCAATTTTTTTAAAGTATTTTTGTGTTATTCACGTGTTATTAGGGATCATGTAATCAACAGTCAAGGATACAAAAGCAGTTTAGAAAAATATATTTAAAAAGTGATGTGTGGACCCTTATAAGTAATTGTAAGATCAACACACAATTAAAGCTTCCTTCACGTAATCAGCACATGATGAGTTTTCTTCATATAATCAACACACGACGGAAGTTTACCTCTTATAATCAACACACGACGAAAGTTTACCTCTTATAATCAACACAC